GACACTGTCTGAAATAATTACAGAGTATTGTGACAGGAAATACGGATGATTAGCCAGGAAAGTTTTACTACAGAAAACTGAAACTTGGATCTCTCTTCATCTTTTTTCATGCTGAGATGGTCTTCATTAGAATTTCACAATTGGTCCACATCACAATCCAAGGGATGTTGTCTTGGGGAAAAAATGGAATCCCGTCAAGCACCTCCAAATTCCCGGTTATGGGAAATACTACTTTTGAGGTTTGAAGTTTCAGTGGACGAGGGAACAGGCAATCAGTTTGCTGCCCAGGAACGGTTGTATAAATCGATTTGCCGATGCAGGAATGACGGTCCTTGGTTGAGGAATGCCTTGTGCCTGTCCTCGCTTTTCCCACCGTGTCTACTTTCTGTGGAAGCTCAGACTCACTCCTGCACTAAATCACTTGTAAATCACCGAGTCAACGAGCTTTGAGAGCTGGAAGGCCCCTCTCTGATCCCTCCTTGCTGCCTCATGGAGACACCCTGCCAAAGAGCCAGAGTGGGGGTGTGGGCCGAACCTCTGGGGTGCCTGGCTTGGGTAGGTGGATGTTGCCAACCTCTAGCTTCTGGTGCTGGCAGCCTTGTTCCCTGAAATTGCTTCAAGACCTTTTGTCCTTTTAATGTTTCTTCCAAGTGCTGTATATTTCCACGACAGACTTATTTTTTACCGAGAAATAGGTACCACCGCCCCTGGCCAAGGTACACATTTATTACAGGACTGTGTTGGTAAAACCACAGGCAACCAGGCCTTGAACATGGCACCCTTTACATCTCCCTAGGCCAAGCGTTACTGGAAACACGGTGAATTCTTAGGCTGCTCAGAGAGGGTAATTGGGTTTCGAGTGAAAATCACTGCATACATGCAAGACAGGCGAGGTCAAATTCATTGACCTCCAGGGCTCTCTGCCCGCCAGCGAACAAGTATGACGAATTGCAGCATGTTGGTATGGCAGCTCTGATGCCTCCTTGTGTGCTCCCAGTTTCTGGGATACACAGAGTGTTTTGGGATTTAAAATTTCTTTATTTTGGAACTCCTTTAACCTGTTCAGTTCCGAGGTACTTGAGGCATCCCATGGGAAAGACCAAGAACAGTGGCTGAGATGGTGGTACAGGGACTCCTAGGGATAGTCCCAAAGTCCAGGATGCGGGCTGTGGTGTCCGAGAGCTTGGGTGCCAGAGCCAAGTGTGAAGCCAACTGCAAGGACCATGATCTTGAGCTAACTCACCCTTGGTGATAGGACCCTCCCTCTGTAGAGTTGTATGCGGGAATTGAAGGACTTGCTTACACATTTCCTTGGTGAGAAGACATGGACCTAAGTCATAAAGCCTCTGAAATCTGGATATTTTCTTTGGCTCACTTCTGAGATGCCGGGGCTGCCCGCGTGCCTTGTTGCAGGCACCGAAACAGGTGACTTGTCCTGCAAAAGGACTGAGTTCTGAGTGCTTTTACACCAAAGAAACCTCTATTCTTCATGAAGCATTTGGCCTTTGAGGATTTAATCCTAGGGCTGACCCGAAACCGAGAAGTCACCTGGCCGAATTCCCCCTTGCTATCCTTTCTCTTTTGACGAAAGGGAATCCTACCATGGGGAAGTTAGGTTTGTCCACAATGGCCAGCCATCGTGGCAGAGCCAGAGAGATGCGAGTCTCCCAGGAACCAGACCAGTAACCTTTTGTCCTGTTCTATTAGTCTCTGGTATTCAGACAGTATTATGGGAGCCCCCTTAACGGCTGTCCGGGGTTAGTCACCATGTGCATCCCCCCGGGACATTACTGATGCCCACACAAGCTGTGGCTCCTGGTGAATGACCCACAGCCCTCTGGCCATCCTCTGCAGCTGTATGCTCACCGAGAGGATGTTGTGTTGCGATCTATTCATGCCATTTGTACCCCGCATCCGAATGATGTGATTTATTTGAATGTTGCATAAACCAGTGTAATAGCACTTGGGCAAGAGAGAATTCCTTCTATGAGTTACCTGCTTTGGACAGAGTAGGGTGTGACCAGATAGCAAGTGTGGAAAAGGTGGGGGCAGATCAGGATCTAGAAGTGCTGTGAACTCAGATCCCTCACATGGTGGCTCATGGGTAATCACTAGGAGCTCGAGCATGGGGCCCACGTTCACAGAAGGTATCTGGGCTGCCCCCCCTCAAAAGCCTAGCATACCTTTAAATCAGCCACGCAGAAGATCTCAATTTATACAGTTCAGATTCCGTTAACAGGTTAAGTGCATGAGTTCCCTTTTGGCTGGGTTTTGGTTAGCTGACTAGCAGTGAGCTTTACTTGTCTTAGCATCCACGCAGCTGGAGCTTGGAGAACTCTGGTCCAGCCTCAGTAACCAGGGCACACAGTGTCACATTTTTCTTTTGTTGACCTGTAACCTTGTGCAGGTTAGCAACAGTTAAATTGTCATGATTTCTAATGTAAAATGATAGGAAGATTGGGAAGGGAGCCTGGTGAGCTGTGTGTGTTCACCTAGGTAGGGACACTGAGCTCCTTACTAGCAGCTGGTGGTCCGGACACTGTGGGGGTCCAGCTGAACTGTTGCTCCTGAGACCTCCTAGAATAATGTCTGTTTGCAGCACAAGTTCAGGGGCTGGGGAATTGGTGTTGCTCTCACTTTAAAGGGAGAGATTTTAATATACTTTCCCCCCAAAGCAAGCTAACATTCCGGTTTTTCTAGCACCACCTCTCCAGGGATGCTTGGCTCTTTTTAGAGGGAGGGCTGGGGGAGGGGGTGTACCTGGCTCTGGAGGGTCCTGTCATGCGCCCCCGAAGAAGTACCCCAGCCCATAGCCATCCCTGGGGTCACATCCCTGATGATAAAGGTCTCTGTGAGTGGAAGGGTATTTCCCCCATTTTGTAGGAGGTAACCATGGTGATCCCAGTTGCCCAGTCCCTCTCACTGGTGAGTCTTGGTTAGTTTTGGCAATTTCCTGTGATGCTGAGACACTCACGGTTCTTTCAGAAAGTGGGCCAGTAGCTGGTGTATGGGGATTCGTGCAGAATGCTGGTTGAGCCAATTCTAAATAGCAACCACTCCAAGCTAATTCCTGAAAAAGACAAATTTCTGTCCTTCACGGGCTTGTTAAATCACTTTTAATATCACTTTTAATGTAAGTTACTTCTGGATTTAGAGCTAAATTTACTTAAATTACTTCAGTTACACTGGAGAGTGCCCTAATAAATTCTTTTTTCAATCACCCACAAAATGTTAAATGGGTTTGTGCTCATCAGGCTCACTCTGAACCTTCTCTGGAAATCTTGCTCACTTCTGCTCTTGTTGCATTCAGAGAACTGGGTGAGCCCCAACTCCCAACGTAACAAAGGCCAAACAGTGAGGGTCGATGCCAGGCGCTCGACATTCCTCGCTTCTTTTCCTAATGACTAATATTAGCGAAGGGCAAATGGCTGAGTTACATCCCTTCACTGTTGATTCTAAATTCTCTTCCACAATGTGAATGTAGTGAAAATATTCCCTCTAACCAAACCTCCCTGCAAAGGCATGGTCTCTGAGGAGGTAATTTGCAATTTGTGGGAGTTCCTGACAAAATTTGCAGGGGGGGCTTGCTTTCCACCTCTTCTTTGTTAAAAGTGGGAGGACAATCAGGCAGCTTAGCATGCTTTCAGAGACCTTAACCTGGGGATGGTTCTAGCAGGGCCAGCTTTGTCAACCTCGATGAAGTCAATGAATTCTTGTTGCGGGGCTCTGCTCTGCTTTATAGGATGTTAGTGGCATCCCTGGGCTGTACCTACTCAATGCCCGGGCACCTCTCCCATTGTGACAGCTGAAAATGTCTCCCTTCAGACCTTGCCAGATGTCCCCTTTCAGGCCAAATTGCCCTTTGTGAACGTCTGGAGTAAGGAATGTGCTAGGCTGACACCCGGTGCTCGTGACTGCCATTGGGTTCTCCTGCCTGGCCCCAGAGAAGTTTACCATGTGACTCAACTCTGCTTTTAAAGAGTCTGAGTCCCATGCAGGATGTTCTTCCTTGGCTGTGGAGATGTGTGATGGGCCCAGGAAGGTGTGGATTCAAGCTTTTTGCTACATGGAAGACATTTACACGATCTCCCTGTCTCCACCTTTTTGATGACAGGATGGTGATTTTGAAGAACCTTGTAGAAGGTGTATTTGGGGGGGGGGTGCAGAGCGGAGGAGGAGACAGGAGTTCTTATACACATATCTAGATATATAACTGTGCAGTGAGAATTGTTTTGGATAATTCGGTAAGTCCACTAAAATTGTCCTGCAGGCTTTAGTTTCAACACTGAACTAAATCATAGCATCTCTTACTATTCTCGCATCTTGTTTGCAAAAATTAGATTTCCGAAAAGAAAACAGATAATAACCTCCCGGAAGGTTGTGACAACATCCGAAACTTCTAAATTTCCCTGAGAAGCCCAACATAGTTTTTCCCCGTTGAAAGTTTCTGCTCTATTCTTGTTGCTGTGAATAACCTAAACAAACTTTAAATTAAAAAAACATGATGAACAGCGGTACGGATTCTAGAAAGGATTATGTCCCAAGGGATGCCAGAGCCACGATCTTTGTGAGTTCCTAAGGAAATAAATTGCATATTGGTGCAAGCAGCCTGGGTTCTTCCACGGTATGCCTGGCACATCCAGTGTGGTTTGCAGTCTTTGATTTATACCATCTGCAGGGGTCCACTTTCTGGTCTTGTGCGAACACACAGTACAGTGCTCACAGCGGGCGATTCTGAGGGAGCAAGCCATCAAACTTACACCAGTTTTTAAAACCACCAAGATGCATTTGCAGGATAAGTGAGTTCAAGCTCTCCCTCATCCTGGGATCGTACACCTGGGGTTGAGTATTTAGAAGGAGCTGAGAATTATGGTCAAGCAAGGCCCTTTACTTTGTGTCTGATATAATCATCCCAGCATGGCCCCCGATGATTCTTGAATTCGTGGGTAAACACCATTTGTCACTCATAATAGAAAAGTGGGAGGAGGAGGTTAACATACCTATAGATAATACATGCACTGTTCCTGCATGTGTCACAATTAGCTGTGTCTTGCCCCGTCCGATATGAAAGCCTACAAGATAAGAACAGGAGAGCATTACAAGTGGTGGCTGGTGGTCGCTGGCTGTTACAGAGCAGACACCTCACATCAGAGCCTTCCCAGTGCCATTGCTTGTCATGGTAATGGAAACTGATTCCTGTGTGTTTCCCATTTGGCTCCTGTCTGCATTTATCATACAAAACCACTGCAACGTCTACAGCTAAGATGATAGCTAAAATAAATCCAGAGTGTAAACATAAGCTACTGGATGAAGGAGATAATCTGATTTTGCTAAAAGAGAATTGGGGGTGTTTCAATGCAGCTTTATGTTTACGGTATTTGGAAGAAACATGGAGGGAAAACCAGTGCCCAACATGTGGACTGCGTGGCTTCACTTTGCCCCACAGCCTCTTGGCCTGCTGGAGTACAAGTCTGCAGTCTTCGGTCTGATTTTGCCGAGCAAGCTAAGAATGGAGTTTCCATTTTAAATGGTTGGGAAAGAAAGAAGAAAGAATAACAATATTTGGAAACTGTATAAATTAATGAGATTTAAATTACGACATCCATAAGGATTTTGAGAGTAAAAAAGCTGTGAACATTTTTTCCTAAGAATGTGACGTCTTCCATTCTGCTTCTTGGTTTCCAGATTCCAGAATATTTATTCTCTGGCTTCAGAGAGAAAGCAGTTTACTCAGTCTTGTGGTAGAGTATCCAGTTCTGCTGTCTTACCTTCCACTGCCCTTGTCTGCCTGTATCATCTGTGAGATCTGTCTGCCCAATGAGGCCACACAATTTTGTGGGGTTTTTTTGGGGGGGAGGGGTGTGGCAAGATTGTTAACTCTATTCCTCTTTAAAAAAAAAAATTTAGAGTATTTTTTGGAGCCTATTGTGGAAGGTTGACTCAAAGGTTGATAAGCAGGATTTTCTTGGCCAGGCCTTGACTATTTCTTGGCCCGGTCACCTCAAGAAATTAGCATTAGGGGTGCTTTCCTGCCATTTCTTGTAATGACTTCAGCCGACCTTTCTTCTCTGATATTTTTAACAGCCAGGTGTAGTTTTTCCGAATATTCCTTGGTACCCAGGGGGCAAACATGATAACCACAGCCTGTTAAATTTGTGACAGAAGAAAAGCTTCCGTCTAGATTGGCTTATGTATACTTAGGGGGTAAATTTACGTTTATAGAATCACTCAACGTGGTAAGAGTACGCACAGAAGGTTTTCCGTCAACATCGATAGTCAGTATTTTTATCACTTTTGCTATGTAAACTGCTCTTGTGTGCATCGTGGATTTTGAATTGAAAATAACTTTTGTTTTCCTCACTGTATTTTGTGTTATATAAACATTTGACAAAAAGATTTCCCACTCAATGTCGTGTTGTCTCAGTGAGCTTTGGTAAACTGGGGACTTGCCCGTTGAATTCTGTGTGTTTTACTTATTAATCAAGTGGCCATATTCTGCCCCAAAGTGCTGCTGACCATTGCCTGTGACCGCATTGCATTTGGGCAAGGCCTGGAATGGCGGTGTGGCTGCGTGGGTGCTGACCTTTATCCAGCCTCACTTTCTGTGTAGGGCTCCTTGGCTGTGTGTGTTTGGTGTTTTGCTCTCCCCTTGGCTTAGTCTGTAGAGAGGAGCAGTCAAGAGCCTGTGTGCATCACAAGCTCTCCTTCCTTCTCCCCGGACCTGGCCACTTTCTTACTTAGGCTTTTCCTTTTGACAGAGCCCACCTGTACATTCCTCATGAACCTTCCCACCTGGCTCCAGATCAGTCAGACCCAGTCCGGGGTTCCCCTGTGTCATGATGTCCGCCTTCTCCATTTTTCCATGCCTGATGTGTATATAAAGGGACTTTCTCCATTCACCATATTCTGCTAGAGCTTGCCCTAAGGTCCTGTCTCACCGAGGTCATTCCGTACAATATTGTGCGACACTTGAGCCCATGTCCTAGCAGTGACACAGGTGATGTGGAACGTGTTGTCACACTCTTAGATTGGGGTGCAGTTGAGGTACTGTTCTGCTTTTGTGTTGCATGAGCATGTGCTAACCGCCAGCCAGGGTGGCTGTTTATAGGAGCTAGACACATTGCAGAGGTGAGGCTTTTAAAAGAAAGCAGGCAGAATCAGGGACATTTCTTAGCCCTCATCTGAGGGGCAGTCTTTCTGGGTTCTGAGGAAAATATGAATTCCAAGCTTGTAGAACCTTCCTGTCTTAGACCCCAGGAAAAATTCTGATCAAGCCTCATCAACACCAGCACCCCTTAATTGCCCAATATTGTACAGTTCCCAAGTGTCTCACATTAGAGCCTTGGGCCCTCAAATTAATTGTGGTATCCTTGTTTTAAAAAGGAAAATAGAGTAACATTTCACGTCCAGGATCTCATTATTCTTAGACCCCAGGCTGCTGATTGATTCTCCGTGATGCCTTCCTTCTACCTTGGGAATGGTATTCTGCACTACGAGTAACTGGCAGCTTGGGATAGTCAATGAGTCCAGCAATGACAGGACAAGGGCTTCAGGTACCAGAAATGCACTTGAGGACTCTCTTCCAGGACCTTGGCATTTTTCGGTTAGAAATAGCTTTCTTAAAGCATTTTCTGAAAAGACTCTACTCTTATCCCCTTCTTAAAAGCACACACATTTTTTAAAAACACTGTTAGAGTCGGTAAGCAAATAGTTATTAAGTGCTTATTAGGTGTTAGATTAGTGTGCTACCAAGGAGACATTTTTGAAAAAGACAAAGTCCTTGTCCTCACAAAGCTTGCAGTAGAGTGGCCGAGGCAGGCAGGCAGTAGGTGAGCACATGGATGGATGTATGGATGCATGAGTTTTGATAACATGTATTAATGGCTGTGAAGAGGTGGCTTTAGCTCGCTGGCACACTGCGGACATGGATTCTGAAGTGGGACCTCGATGATAATAAAGAAGGAGTCATGCGAAGACCCGGGGTTGAGTGGTGCAAGCGAGGGGACCGTCACCGTGAATGATATTGATACATTTGCAGGACAGAAAAAAAGGCCAGTGTGGCTAGAATAGATGTTGCATATAGGAGCTGGGGAGGAGATGAGATTAGATCATGTAAAATGGGAAACACTTTGGACATTATTTTAAATTTAATGGGAAAGCCACTCTAGACTTTTTCTTAGACTTAGATGAAACAGGGACGTGGAAAACACTTTTTGACTTTCTCTGACCCATGCCTCCAACATCACTTTCATCCAATTTCCTTTCTCTTGCTTTTTATTTACAATACAACCCAATTTACTCAGTCCTGAGATGTAGGATGGTTTGGCTGATGTCTATTGATAAGAAGCAAATGAGTCATCACGCCTGCTTTGTATGGAGACATATTTATGCTCACTGGTTGTTAGCTAATTTAAAAGAGAAACAGGCAGTCAGTCCTATTTCCACCGTGTCTGTGAGGTATTTTCAGGATCTCATTGCCATGAACTTTTCTTAGAAAAAACCCCTTATGTTCCTGAGATTTTTTTAAAGGACCTTTCTTTTGTTTAAAGAATTCAAGTGTTTGGAGTCCATAAAGGCAGTTTATAGAAGTAGAGGTCAATGACAAATTCATTTGTGGATAAAATTGAAAGTGTTGCCCTTGTATCATGTGGTTAAGTCATGGGCTGCCTCCAGCAGCTAATGTCAATCAAGGTATGCTTGCAAAAATTTTATTAAGCATGAGGGTGTTTTCAGTAGAGGGCTTAAGCTGTGTAATCCATTGTGCTCACTGCTTTGATAATCCATCTAATTGTCCTTGGAGCTTTCAAGCTGTAGGGTTTGGCCTCACTGATAATTTTATGGTCACATTAATAATTGTGTTACAGCATCTGAATGAATGTGTTCTCTAAATATAGATGAAACCGATAAATTCTTTCTATAGGACAGGGAACACAAAGTGCTGTTATGAAATTTCCCTAATTTTTCCTTCTCACTTGGAAGCAAGTCATAAAACCAATACTTGGAATGATTATCTTTCTGGATTTCCACTGCCATGGAGAGGAGCAGTCCAAACTCTTTGAACTGCTGGACCAGATGCTTCTCCAGTGACAGCAGGGCTAGAGATCTTCGGTGACTCTACGTTTGGAGAAGAGAGATCTAAGATTATTGATGTAAAAGCTGCAGAGGAAGAATGTCTTGATCAAAAATTTTAAGTTTTCCGTCTTGCAAGTTACTTGCTATCTTTGTAAAGCTCTCTTTCTTTTTGTTTTGAGGAGTTATACCTTATATGGGTTTATAATTCTCTGCCTGTCAGAGTGCCCAGTACACGGAGTATTTGGTTAACAGTAATGTGACCAGCTAATACAGTCCACTCTTTGGGTTCTCATATTGAAGTTCAGTAATAGACAAATCTGATGAAAAAATTCCAACCAAGTACAAAAAGCAAGTGAGAAGTATACATTTTGAAAAGCTCTGGTCCCACTTTCTTTCCCAGTAGGAGCCCCTTTGTACCCTATAATAGGCATGCTTGTTGTAACTATGGCTTTTTTTTTTAATTTTCTTTTTAAATACACTGATCTTTGTAGCACGCACTATTGTCCACTGCAGTTAGTTGCCCTTGGCCAGTATTCTCTGGTCTTAGCAATGTCTGAGACTTGGAAAGAACATAATATTCAGCACCAAGAACAGCACCAACCTATTGTGTTCTCTTCAGACCTTTTTCTCTTCTGTTCCCTTGATTCTCTTGCTCCCATTGCTCCAGAGCACAGTCCTAACTGAGGAACAGACTCCAGAATCTGCATCCTCCCCTTGCTTGATGCCCTTTTTGACATTTATGATCATGGAGGGCTTCGCTGAAAGCTAAAGGAGACTAGACATGAGTTACGAGATGAATAGGGATGTGTAAAGAGCATGGACGTTGTGAAAACAATGGAGGAGGCAAGTGTTGCTCTGGATTTGTCCAGGCAGAGGGATGTGGACAAGTGAATTTTACGTGGTTCTGGTAGAGTCCAGGTGTGGAGCCATCTCCACCTCTGTTTTGTGGATTTCTTTATAAGACCTTGCTCTACTCTACAGAAAGCAAGATGAGCGTCCT